CTGCTGCTTCATTTCCAGCAATACCCTCATGCCCTGGCACCAATATCAGTTGTACCCTGTTATGTTTGGCCAGTTCCATGAGGGTTTGGTGGCAATCCCAGACCAATTTTGAATTGATCTGGTATTTGTCAAGCGCTTTAAGCGCAGCTTGGCTGTCAGATAGAATGTAGATGTTCCTATTTCTATAGTTCCTATCTAAATTCTCCATAATACATGCTTTAATGGCATATACTTCTGCCTGGAATACTGTTGTGTACTGCCCAAGGCTGAAACTAAGTTTCCGCCGTGTGCCATGGCAGTACACACCAGCTCCAGTGCCCTTATTTGTCTTTGAACCATCTGTATACCAGATCAGTCCCCCTTTTCTATCGGGCTGAAACCCATCTTCCCATTCACTCCTGTCAGGAAATCTGACCGTGAAGGGTTTTTCATATACATATCTCAGTATCATTTTGTCAGACCCCATTTGTAATATGGGTTCTTTTTTCATGTCCTGAGTCATGTATGCATGGCCAAAACCATCAGATCTAGGTTTCCATTGTCCACTGCACTGGAGACGGTAAATTCCTGCCCTATGATATTTATGAAAGTAATGTACGGTTGTGCTTGTAGTGCATGAACATGTCAAGGAGCGGGACACTTGCATTCTGTAAGTGTATAGATAAAGTCCAGCCAGTGCCATGTAAATAGAGTTTTGTGGTTTCCTTAAATCTTTTTGGATGAAGTATCTTCTGAAAAGAGTTCTGGCTTTCTTCTTGATCCTTTCCATAACTCCTATATAAACTGTCTGCTAGATGATGATTTTGGGCTGCTGCATTCAGCTCTTACAATTTTGTATGTTGAAAATTACTTTTTGAAGTTGAAACCTTTTATGTGAAGGAAGTAGTATGGGAACCATTTTCCAAGTTTGGATCATTTAGTGGTCGCAGAAACCTCTGTGAAGCAATAGAACATGCACATACACCACAAATACATAAACAGAAACATTACTAGAATGTTACTACCAGCAGGACTCCATAAACAAATTCACTGTAAAGCCCATGTTTCCTGCTTTTGATCATATATCTGTGATCAGCTTGCATTATTTTTATGCTCTAAGTGCTAAAACTGAAGTTGCTACTCTGTGAATTTTCCACTTTGAGTTCTGTTACTTTTAATTCTAATCCCATTTTCTTTCTGGAAGAATTTAGCACAACTGCACTTTAGATCATTTTGTTTACAGAAACAGTAAATTGATACTTATCTGATATCTGCAGTTAAATAAAAATATATTCCTTATGGTTAAATGTAAAGTGAAGGAGGTGTGAATGCATATTTTAGGACAATTAAATTTAAAAGTTTGAAATGTTACAGAATCTTACCAGCCATTTTGTAAAATATAATACAGGTGACATGTTGTTGTTGAAAATTGTCTGTAGTAAGTTGGTAATGATGATAAAAACATTTTAAGTTTAATTAAGTTTTTGTGTATCTTTTGGCTTCTTCATTTTCATACCCATAGGAAGTGTGCTGAAAATTAGTATGATTAAAAATGAGAAATACAGAGATATTTTGGAGGAAGAGTTTGTAGCATACTGTAAGGTACATTGTTTGACACCTAAATGTCAAATCCCTCATGAAAACAACAGGCTTTAAAATGTTGTTATTGGGTACCTGATTGGCACAGTTCAATCTGAGGAATTATGAATGAAAGTTGATTTTAAGGATAGTGTGCAGGCAGAATGTGAAGGAACTTAACAGCTGTTCTGCTATAGTTAATTGCTAAAAATATAACAATTTTGGAAGGGTGTAATTTAACTGTGGATGTCCCTCGTGAGGTCAGTGAGGAATGAATTATGAAAGTTGACTTCATACCTTAATAATTATGTAGCAATGCTTATTCAGTTAGAAGGAAATGACCTGATGTAAAAGAGTTCAAGAATACCATGAGAGGCAAGAGAAATCATAAGCCACTGTTCACAAACTGGAGCTAATAGAAAGGCAGCAGAAGTTTTCTTTGTGGCATATTCACAGAAGAAGACCAGAATTATGCCTTTTGGCAGTTTTGGATTACATAGTCACTAAATAGAAAGTAATGTATTGTGACGAATTCCATGAGTTAAAGAGGAGTGTGTAAAAGAAGAATGACTTACATGAACTGGTTACAAAAGTACACAGTAAGATAATTTCTTTGGAAAATGAAACATCTGGAGAGTACAGGTAGGATGCACATTTTTCATACATTCAGAATATGTGAGTAGTCCTGTAAGTGATAGGTCATGAATTTTCTCTCTCCTCTCGAAAAGTATGCAAGATGGATAATAGTGGCGAAAGTATGAAAAGAAAATAGCAGAAAAATCAAGACAAGGGAAGATGACTAAGAGTTAGCACTTAATATGGAAGTGTTAAGAAAAAAGAAGCAGTGAATTGAAGATTGTACAATGCTGAGAATATCAAGAATTGCTGAGTCTGCTTTCTGAAGTGCTCAGCCATTATAGTAGGGCAAATATTGTAAAATTATGTTTTTGATTGTACTTGTTCTTCTGCAGTGCATATATGTTCAGTATATTTGGAGTAGTGTTTCAGGTGATTCAGAATCTTTATTTTATGAAACGTTGTTGGACATGAACAATGAACAAGGGAACAAGTGAATATCTATCTATCATCAAAGAAACGAGTATGACCTTAGCTGTGAGGCTAGTTCATTTGTTAAATGAATCTCGTGAATAAAATGAAGTCCATGAAGCAAAGAAAGCTGCTAATGAGAGTATTAATTTGCATGTTAGTCACAACTATGGAACTTTAGAGTGTATTTTGGTGCCTGAACTTTTTATTCTGCAGTTTGTATTACAAGTATTACAAGCAAATCTCCACATTTACAATGTCAACTACTGCTTGAATGATCTGAACATAACTTTGGATGTACAACTTGAAGAAAATGTGGGAATCTGTGCAGATATGTCCACATCGTGTACTTACTTACTTACTTACTTATTTACTTACTCATGTAGCTGAGCCTTTCTGGATGAGCCGCCAATTCTGCAGCTACTCAAGAATTTTCCAGCATTTTATGGAATCCGAAGGTTCATTATCATGTTCACAAGAGCCCTCCACTGGTCCCTATCCTGAGCCAGATCTATCCAATCCATACCATCCCATCCTATCTCTCTAAGATCCATTTTAATATTGTCCACCCACCTACGCCTTGGTCTTCCCAGTGGTCTCTTTCCTTCTGGCTTTCCCACCAATATCCTATACACATTCCTTGTCGCCCCCATTTGTGCTACATGACCTGCCTACCTCATCGTCCTTGACTTGATCATTCTAATTATACTTGTAGAAGAGTACAAGTTATGAATACCCTCATTATGCAGTTTTCTCCCACCTCCTGTCACTTCATCTCTCTTCGGTCCAAATATTCTCCTCAACACCCTGTTCTCAAACACCCTCAGTCTATGTTCCTCCCTTAATGTCAGAGACCAAGTTTCACACCCATACAGAACCACAGGCAAAATTATAGTTTTGTATATTCTTTTTTTAAGATTTCTTCTGCCACTGCGCTAAGTGTACCTGCCCTATACAAACTTCATACATTCCAAGTGACAAATCTCATATCCATTTTCATTAGCATAGGTCGTTTATCCAAGGAATCAGTCCAGGTCTGAGGCTTTGTGTTCATTTTCATAACATAATAATTTTTTACGGTGAGGAGTTGTTAGCCCCATGCCCAACCCCCAAGCTGGAGGGCCACCCCTTATCGGCTGTCCGTGACTGCTTATTCAATATATTCACAGCATCCCTCCAAAACTGGAGGGCGTCTCCTACATCCGCAACCCAAGGGCGCGCCATGCCGTGGTGACAGGGACCCACCTAACATGGTGTATTCAAACATGACAACCACAGCCATGTCACAATCATTATGTTGGTGTAATAATTGCTTGAAGTGACTTTTGCTAAAACTAAATGTTTTACAATGGAACAGTTATACCTGAAAAGTGGGGGCACATGGTAGCGTAGTTGGTTGAGGCACTATGCTACAAGCTGGAAGGTCGTGGGTTCAAGTCCCGATGAGGTCATTGGATTTTTTTCAGTTGACCTAATCCTTCCAGCCGCACTATGGCCCTGGGGTCGACTCAGCCTCTAACAGAAATAAGTACCAGGAATATTCTTGGAATATTCTTGGGGGTAAAGGGCGGCCAGTGCTTAGGGCTGACAACCTTGCAACCATCTATGAGCCGATTGTCTAGAAAATGTGGGAACCTCAACATCTCACAATCCTATGGGCCTTCATGACCTGTTGCAGGGATACATGTACTCTTTTATAGCTGGAAAATGGGTTTACAGTGATGGAGACTGTTGCAGTGAATGCTGCTTTGGGATAGTACTTTAAGCTACTGATTAATTCCAGTTGAGGGTATGTAGCAAGACTGCATCAGGTGAGGTCAAAATGTCACTGCAGTGTAAAAGTAATCTACTGTAGTTTCTTTTAAGAATTACCAGTCAGTGGAATTGCATTTCCATCTCAAGTACTTGTGAATAACACAGGTGACCTTGTAACAGATGTTCAACAACTAGAATATATAGATGATGGAAACATTTGTTTTAAAACCAACCACCGTCCAATATGGGAAGAATTTATTAAAAGAAGATGTATGATTCCATTGGACTGCTTCTATGAACAGTCAACATGTGGATATTTGGAAGAACTCAAACCCTATGTTGAGCCAGATCATTTTATAACAGTTTGAAGTTGAAATGTATCAGTATATCATCTTACTTCTGACTGTTGTACGTTTGCTAATCTAATTCTGACCTATTGACTTCATTAAGCAAGTCCTCCTATGTGCATTTTCTTAGCAATTGGAACCTGTATGATGCTCATTCATGAAACAATAAAATTGGCTGAAAGTGTAATATTGTTCTCAAACATTGCACTAGTAGGTCCAGGCCCATAGACTTGTTAGGTGAAATATAATACAGAGTAGCCCAGAAGTCAGTTAACCCAAAACATTCTCTCATATTAGTGGGAATGTTCATGTTTAGATCTGCTAGTTGATAGGTGGAATGGTGTCACAGCATTGTGAGTTGTTCACTGAACACAGAGAATCTCATTTCATGCAATTTCTATAATTTCAGTAAATAATAAAGAAATTTATGATGCCTTTTAGAGATTTTACATTTTACTTATCAGTTAACTGATGAGCCACTATATATCTTTTAGCCTATAGACAATATTTTAAATGTTTTTCACCCTTCTCTAAATTAATTTTTTCTATGAGATTTGAGGTTCTCGTGGTGGTGACTGTGAAGATATTATCTTCTTTGGAGGAATGTGTTGCCTCCTTCTGCAGGCCAGATGGAGGCAACATGTTCTTCTGAACCATAAGTAAATGTTTGTCATACTACATTGTCATATCCCAGAAGACAGTACTCTGCATACTTTCCTCCATTTGGGAGGTGTCTGCACAGGAACAGAGGTGTGTTTAAATGTTGTCATATGGATATGACAATGGATCATCAGGCTTTGTGAAAGATATGGCTTTCTTGACAAGCTGTGCGATGTCAAGCTTCTGAAGAAGGACCCTGGTTGATGGAGTTCACAAAGAATTTGTATAAGAAAATATTAATATTATTCTATATGTTATTAAATAACAAAATAATTAAGACTGTATTTGTAAAACACATTCATTGTGTCTGCACTGTAAACTGTAAATCCTGACTGCCTATATGGTCCTAAAGTGTTTGTCCCCCCACAAATTAGTAAGAATATGTTAGGAAGACAGACAGACAGTTTTGGTAAAGCTTATAACCACTTTCTTTCTTTCTGTGAGACATGTCTAACAGTTGATTCTTCTTATATTGCAGTGCTTATATATGTCTGTATGTTGACTGTATCCTTATATAACTTGTTCTTACATGTGTCCAGCATATTCCAGATGGATGTGGCAGCAACAGTAGTCAAGTCACAGAAGAATCTCCTTGTAATACACAGAAGACAGAGACCAACAGTCTGCTTGGCAGTTATATCACTAAAGAATATGAGCTGCTGCATTTAGTTCTGAGTCATTTACCTCTTGGAGATCTGAATGCAGCTTCTCAAGTTTGCAGGTATAAGCCTTATGTTGAGTTGAATTAACAGTTATTAAGTTACATTTGAAGTATGAGCAGTCTAACAACAAGACAGTTATCATATTTATGTTCTCACTATATAAGTTCAGTGGAAATTGTAAATCATTCATGTATGCTAAGTACTACATATAGTTAATCTCAAACTGGAGCTTTGGGCCCTCCTACTTTTTGGGCTGACTTGGACAGAAGTTACTTTTCTGGGAATTTCTTTGCTATAATGACTGTTTATTCCAGTATACTAATTTAATATATAACAATATTTATGTAAAGTGTTCTTGTTTTAAAGAAAGTACCCTTCAAATTTTCTCTGTCATTATCAGCCATTGTTGCAGCAGGATGACTTTAGATTTCACTCCGCTTGCTGCTCTGCATACTCTTTGACCTGAAAATGAAACTTGTACCGCACTACACAGTGTCACGTCCTAGAAGACAGTACTTTTCTATATAGTACACTTGTCATGTCCAACTTTGTTTACATACATTTTTCCATCAATAATGCAACTGTTGAGTTCTTCATTCACAACATGTTTTGGCCTCAAATGATGATCCTCAGGTGTCCCATTATGTTAAACCTGCTACATTGCACTGAGTATTGCCCATTCTACATGCACATAACTGAACATTTCACAATTAAAATGTTATGATTGCACTCAACTACTGTGCATTAAAATCTTTTTATTCCATTTAAAATCAATTAAAAATTTTTAAATTAGGCAGGGACATGTTATCACCCATACAGTACATTGCTGCATAGAATGCACAACAACAACAACAACAACAACAATATAATAATTTAAACGGTGTGATAAAAACTTAATCACTTTAGGATATCAAATTGGTAAGGTATGATATGGACTTGCCTTTTGGTCAGCACTGAATGCATGGTGAATAGACATAAAGTTGGTAGTTGAAAGAAGTCAAGCATCTGACATTAGATGCACTTATTGTTCTCAGAACGTGGCGTTCTGCGGCAGCTTCTGTTAGACGCAGTCGAATACATCCACACTGGCTACTGTGGCATGGTGGTCAGCGCCAGAAAATACCAGAACAACTGTATGGAATTAAAAGCGTGAAGTTTGCAGAGGCTGAGTTTCCGTATGTGGCTTTCCGTGAGCATGTATATAGTGAACCATCCTTGGCCCTTATGTTTGCATCACGAACAGTGTTTGGGACTCGTGTTCTCTGCACATATAAATGCTCTTGTCCAGGTGTTACTGCAAGACGTAATGATGAAGAAGTTTGTCATCAACACAGAGGTCAGTTGATTATCCTACATTTCAAAGTTAGATACTAATGAGGATGTTTAAATGGTTGGTTAGTTATTTAATGATGCTTTCAGTATTGAGACTGTATAGCGTTGGATGGTGGGATGAATGATAAATTTGGAAGGATCTGAAATGAAGTAGTTTTGTTGTAATTGAGGTACTGGCCCAGTATTCTCATGGAAGAGCTGAGGAAAACAATGAGGAATCTCGGTCAGGATCGCTGACGTTGAGCCAAGATTCAAACCAGACATCCCCATGCCCCACCAAATACAAGTCTAGAACATTAATGCTAGACTAACCTGTTTGGCAAAATTAAGTGGTGCTCATATTATATCTAAACATGAAGTTGTGTTTTGTATGCATTACATGTGACATCTTATGCAACCTGCGCTTGTGTGTAACTTTCTACAATTTGTGTACAGTATTTGTCCTTACTTGGCTACATGTTTTGACCTTTAGAAGGTCATGTTCGTATGTATATACAGGGTGTCCCAGGAGGAATGGACCAAACTTCGGGAGGGTGTTCCTTATGTTAAAGTATGCCGATACAACCCAAAACACCTATGTCCAAAGTTGAACGGTTACGGAGATAATGGCCAGAGAAGTGTCAAACTTTGACCGGTGTTACACACTTGTTGATTACAAAATACATATTAAAACTGGCAGGAATATGTGGATTCTGTAATGTTAATAATGTACGTAACATCAAACTAACTTGTGAGTGACGGAAAGCCATAAAATTGAAGTACGAAATACTCGCTCGCCATGTCATAATTGTCCTTGGGGTTTCCAAGCACTATACATGACACATGACTGGCGAGCGATGACGTAATATGGCTGCGCTATAACCCGACCACATAACTGTAAAC